GGTCTGTGTTTTGGTAGAGATACGTGTCAGATTGATGGATTTGTTGACTCTAATTATGCGGGCGATCTAGATAGACGACGATCTACTACTGGTTACGTATTCAAGATACATGAGGCTCTAGTTAATTGGCGATCAATGTTACAGGCTACAATGATACTTTCTACTAAAGAGGCCGAGTACATGGCCATGACGGAGAGGAAGCATTGTGGTTGTGGGGTCTTCTAGATGATTTGGGGATTGAGCAGGAGAATGCAAACTTATGGTGCGACAGTCAGAGTGCGATTCACTTGGCGAAGAATCAAGTTCATCATGCTCGTACCAAGCATATCGATGTCAGGTATCATTTTGTGCGGGATGTCATAGAGGAATGTGATATTTCTCTCATATACCAAGCATATCGATGTCAGGTATCATTTTGTGCGGGATGTCATAGAGGAATGTGATATTTCTCTCATAAAGATGCACACGAATGAGAATCCCACAGACATGTTAACTAAGATAGTGACAGGCAGCAAGTTTCAATATTGCTTGAACTTGCTTCATATCAGCTCATGTTGATTTTCCCGTGAGGGCATGGCCCTGCGGGGTGGTGATGGGGTGAGGTAGAGACTATGTTGGAGAATAATTACAGAACTACGATTAGCTTGATCCCGGTGGAGGGTACGTAGGCAGCCGCGGTATAATGGCTCTGCTAGTTTGGCATGGTTTTGGTTTAATTTGGTGTTTCAGATCTCTCTGGTGATGTTCATGGTGTTCTTCTGGTGTTCGTTCAAAATTTAAGATTTATCAAATGATGAACGAGGTGGAGAATTGTGAACAAGAAAGGACAAGGGATGGGGGGACAAGAGATGGTGGACACCCCATGCCCACCATGCTCCTCATGCCCATTGCCCATGCTCTCTTGTCAATGCCCATGCTCACCCATGCTCTCTTGTCCCCTCTTCTTTGCCCCATGCTCTCTTGTCAATGCCCATGCTCACCCATGCTCTCTTGTCCCCTCTTCTTTGCCTATAAATAGAAGGGAGGAAGAGAGGAGAATCACCCATGCTCTCTTGTCCCCTCTTCTTTGCCTATAAATAGAAGGGAGGAAGAGAGGAGAAGGTGTGGACGAAGAGAAGAGTAGGAGTTAGAGAGCTTTTCAAGAGAGAAAATTCAGAGAGAGAGAGATAGCTTGTGAGTTGTACAAGTTGAAGTCGGTATTCTCCTCATAGTAAAATCCCCCTTCCCCCTCCCGTGGACGTAGACAAGTTTGCCGAACCACGTAAATCTCGTGTCTGTATTGTCTTAACTGTGTATTTGTCATTTGCTTGTAGGTGCCCTTGACAAGTCAGTCCTAGAACTGATGAGAGGAAGAGTGCATATCTTACTTTGCTGAGATATTTCACTTCTGTTCTTGTTTCCTTTACGAAACATGAATATAGAGGTTGGCTTGAGCTTTTGTGAAAATAAAAGGCAGGGCTCTCTCTCAGGTGATATCACTTCCGCGGCATGAGGGCGTGTCTCTGCGCCCAACAGAACAAAAGACCACTTAAATTAATTGTTGAATCTAAAACAAGCACATAACTTGAGAACATCCAATCAAGATATATTGTTAACATGACCTGTCTTCTATCTCTACCCTATGTTTCTTAAACTAATAAGAGATTCTTGCATTCAATCAAGGTTCCATGTAACAAACAACCAATCTATGATATGGCTGAGAAAAATTGTGCAGAGCTTCCAACGGAGCTCCTCGGGCTGATCCTCCAGAAGTTGACCTTGCCGGATCATATTAGATTGAGTTGTGCCTACAAGTCATGGAACCAAGCCGTTAAGGAGAAAGCATGGCGCCCGAAGCGTGATTCCCCGTGGCTCATGCTACCCGGCGAAGACGATATTAGTGCTAAATTCTTGAGCTTCTCTGAAAATCGCCCCTACAGCATCCCTCTCCCTCTTCCAGAGATACGAAGACGTGTGCGCATCTGATCTTCTCACGGTTGGCTCATAAGTGTCTATGATATGTGAGAGATGCCTCTTTTGAATCCGGTAAGTGGAGTGCAAATCCAGCTCCCCTCTATCACCACTCTACCCTATGTCTGTGACTACGCAGATGCTGACCGTCGCTATTTTCTCTACAAGGCAATCCTGTCCTTGCCTCCGTCTGCTGATGGTAGCGGTGACTTCACAGTTATTCTTCTCCACAACCCTTTTAGGTTGCACGACAATGATTTTAGTAACATGGCAATCATGAAAGTTGGAGATAATAGTTGGACTTCATTGCCACGAGCATGTCATGACAGTATCGCGGATATCATCCCCCACAAAGGACAACTGTATGGTGTGGATGTAGGAGGGGTACTCCATGTATGGGACCATCATCACCTTACATCTGGTCCCAAATCCACTCTAGAAATACGATTTTATTGCGGCATGACCAAACTGTTGGTAGAGTCCTTGAACAGAAAACTATACATGCTATACAAGGGCTTATATTACGATACATTTATGGCCATTAGACTCGATGCGGATAACCCTGAATTCATCCCTGAGGATGATCTTGGGGACAATGTCTTTTTTCGTTGGTTCAAATACCTCATTTTTCGTCTCTGCAACAAAATTTCCAGAGCTTGGAGGGAACTGCATCTACTTCACAGACGACGACTACTTTGACGTCTTTGACAACCTCGAACACGAGCCACGTGAGATGGGTGTGTTTGATGTGAGGAATGGGAGCATGAAGCCTATACCCAATCTTGGACAGCACTTACATTGGCCTCCCCCTATATGGATCATTCCTACCTTATTCTAAAAGACTTGTAAATGACTAGCTCGGTTACTCGTTGTCATGTTATATGTATGTGTTTCCTTTCTATATTTTGCACTTTTATTCACTTACATAACCTTCGTCAGTTGCATTAGTAATGCAGGGTCGATCTTACCACGCAGATAACATGAGACACGCAAAATTGCAGAAGTGGTAAGAATCCTTGTTGAGGATCCTGTCGCAGTCGAGGTTGGTGACGACGCCGTGGATGATATTCTGGAGGTGCCCCGCATAGCTCCAACCCCCATCAATGGAAATCTGCCCCTATTATTATACCTCATAACATTCATAGCAATGGCGTCATTTTCCTCTCTAGACAAGATATGAGGATCATCAGCAGCTTCTTGAGTAGCACATAGTGCTACCTCCTTTGACGCAGCATCAATACTATCCTAAATCATATAAGGAAAAGACATATATATTTGATTGGCAAATAATGAAACGAACATCATCAATACTATCCTAAATCATATAAGGAAAAGACATATATATTTGATTGGCAAATAATGAAACGAACATCAACAGAATACTTATTATCATATGATTTACAAGACATATATATTTGATTGGCAAATAATGAAACGAACATCAACAGAATACTTATTATCATATGATTTACTGAAAAAATTTACCACCGACACCATGTTTTCCTTAATCTTGACTTCATATTTATAAGTCGAGCGAAATGTGTCGTAAGCTAACTTTGCCTTCAAATTGACAGGCATTATCAACTTCCCCTACAAATTATAATAAATTTTATCACTAGACAAGCAATACAATCAATTCAAACTGATACACCTTATTTTTCTAAATGAAACAAGCAATACAACCAATTCAAACCCTCAACTGCAATTGTCGCTTAATAAATGTGGTGCTTATCAGACTTTTTTCGTACACCTACAATCTATCTTACCTACTCCTTAAATATTTATGTAATGCTTGTTTTAATCCTTGCTGTGGTTTTAGAATGTTTTACTAAAAAACTAACAGGATGATGAAACATGGAAATGGAGGTTGAATGGTTTTATGTGCATCATCAAATATTTGCAACGAATTGTCAAACCACTAAAAACATTTCCTTAGTTGTCTATACGCATTAAAGCATGTGAATTTCAATCACCTACTGCGGAATAGTATATTATAAATGTATGATTAATTACAAATGTCGCTGAGCCATTTCAATTTTAGCAATGGAAAGAGAAAAACAAATTGCACAACCAAAATAGATGAGTACCAACTGCTCTTTTTTGTTTAAAAACATAATTAAAAGAAATAATAAATTACAAGTGTCTCACATTTTTTAATTTCTCCTTAAAATATTATCTTGTCATCCTAAGTTTTCCGCAAGATAAGCTAAATCAGTAAGAAACAAATAGATTTTAAATGGAAAAGATTTTAAATATTATATCATGCCTCGACAATAACCATCAATGTTACATTAAATGCTGGGCGCTTCTAGGCGTCGGACTTAGCGCCTAGCGCTTAGTCGTCTAGTCGGACGCCTAAGCGGTTTCTGGACGTTTTTTTCTTTCTTCATTTAAGTAGTGGTCGATGAGGTTTTGCTGAAGGTCGGAGGAGGTAGTAGAGATGTTCATATTTGGAGGTTAATGAAATTTCGAGGACGTGTAGGCTACGACACATAAAATCACAATCAAGGCCTACAGAGTGCAATCTACGTAAGCAGATAATGCTCCCCTAAACGCTCGTAAAATCTAGGTGGTAGCCTAAATACTGTCTAGGCGGTGGGCGCTAGTTAGGCGGCCTAGGTACCGCCTAGGTTTAGGCGTACGCCTAAGCAGACTAGGCGGAGGTTTTTTAAAACAGTGATAACCATACTCAAGATTGGCAAACGACGTCGATCCCAAGTGGTGGTCAAGCTTGCGCTTGCTATGTCGATTCATCGAGCCCTTCCTAGATTTATTCTACAAAAAAAGAGTTTATTACTAAAGATGAAATGCATCTATAATCTTCGTTCGTAAGCAAAATGAAAATGATGAATACCTGTGCTGACTCGGTATCCCAATAGAAAAGAAGAGCCGTGAAATGATCGAGGTCCACGAATGATGAATACCTGTGCTGACTCGGTATCCCAATAGAAAAGAAGAGCCGTGAAATGATCGAGGTCCACGCTATCATCGACATTTAAAAACCTCTGCTAATCTGCTGTATATTATCATATGTTGAGCTCTTCAGCTCATGCCGCCATTGTTTGAGCACGGACTCAACCTTTATGTTGAAAACATAGTGCCATGCTCCAGGGTAACCCTCAAGACAATAGTATTCCTACAATTTTACATATAGATATGTAAGATATGTATAGGCTTGTTAGAAGACCCCTAAATCAAAATAGACAACTTATGCTATATAGATGCACTGGTTTTGCAAATAACTCCCATAAATTATAACCAAAAAACAATATACAAAGTCATTTTGAAAGTTATTAGGGGTTTAATGTAACTTACTAAATAAATATTAAGATACAAAATTTCTCTGCAGGGCCAGTGGCAGCTGGACTACCAACCCACCCTTGACTAAATCAATAAGAAACAAATTGCAATATGCATTGACTAAACTACGAACTGTCAATGTCACTAAACTACATTAACAACAAACCTTTGCTCCCAGTTCTCTGTTACATGATGTTTATTGTTCAGAGCTTGATGAACCATTCCACTGAGGTAGTTCCCATCTTCAATATAACAAGCCAGATACTTCAAATGAAGAACAAAAGAAGTATTTGCCATTCCACTGAGGCTCTTAATATGCAAGAGCTCCAACACACATGAAAATCCGGAGTACTCGGTGCAACCCTCATACAGATCCTTTTCACTATCCTCTAATAGCTTCATTATTCGATCCAAGTCCTCAGAAACATGAGCATCTTCAAAACCTTCTGGGCCATCAACATCTTCGATCTCAGTTGCATCTTGGACATCATCTGTCGTATCATCTTCACCATCATTGTTTATATCATATTCGGGATGGTCAGGGCCAATATTAGTTTGTAAATTTTCTATATCTTCTGTCCTGAAACCATGACTAGTACCGACATGCACATCCGGTACTTCATCTTCAATACGGCCTTCCCCGTGATAGGACCAATGTTTATATTCCTCGTAAAACCCACAGTTTGTTAAGTGACTTCGTATTTCCTCTTTATTTTTCAGCTTTATATTCTTACACCTACAACAGGGGCAGTACATTGCACCGCTACATTTCGGCATACTTCATAAAGGCTTCACATCCATCCTTATAACGTCGATCGCGAAACCGTTCGATCCTAGGGATATCTATCCATGACTTATCAGGAATTTTCCTCATCTGAAGATAATCTATAATTAGAAACTCTATTTGAAAATAGATAGTATACTAATAAATTTTAAACTATCAAAACGATATACATACATACACACATCATCCTTAAACATGATGTATACGTACTTGTTTGCAACTTTTTTGCTAGGGTTAATTTCACATAATCATCCTGGACTTTGGGTGCTGCATATCATGTACCCCTACCTCACCCTAACCCAACTCCCCAACTATGTAGGTGTCTCACAATACCACAAGCTTTAGTTTAACCATAAATTTGGAGTGTGCTAAATTGCATTTGTGGAATTATGGATGGATATTTGAATTTAATGAATACATATTGGAATTCTTACCAACGTTCTTTTGGGTGAAATTTTACGATAAGCATCACATTTAACTGTAGCAGGAGCACTTACATACGATGTAGCATTTAAGTTGGGCTAATTGAGGTAGGTTTGAAACTTATTAAGGTATAAGGACTAATTAGCACAATCTAGCGGCTGTCATAGAAAGGCTTCTATCTCATTAAGAATATAGTAGTGCTTACATCCAACTTCATATACTCTGTATATTTTTATTTCTTGAAAATTTCTGCAACACCTACCCACTGTTCTCCCTGTACACTATGCGGATGTTATTCTGCGTATTGACAATAGACCAAAACGCAGAGCAACATACGCTTATTATACACGGAGAACAACAAGTACGTGCTGCCGAAATTTTCAAGAAATAAAAACATACAAAGTATACAAAGTTGGATGTACGCACTACTATATTCCTAACCCGTCCGAGAAGGACAGATCCAATAATTACAAATTACTATACCAATTCTTTCCTATTATAATATAAAGTGAACGATCATTTTTGGGTAGAGAACTTTATCTCCTACCCAAAATTGACTCGTTTATCTTATATTATAACCTCAAAGAATTGGATGAAATTATTGGACGGGAGTCTAGGGTTAATTGACTCGTTTATCTTATATTATAACCTCAAAGAATTGGATGAAATTATTGGACGGGAGTCTAGGGTTAATGTTATATTTTTTTTAACCTAAATTGGATATATAACACATTATTATATAATATTGCGTTATATATCACTCTATTTTTTGAAAACATTTTCTTTCATAAATCACACATTTTCAAATAGACTTCCTGAGTTTCGAAATTATCTCATATTTTTTTGGGCCAATGAACAAACTTTTTCTAATGGCGATATTTCTGTTTGGTTATCTTAATTAGGATTTAAACAAATAGCTTCTGATTGGCCTGAGATAGTTCTGGGGTGTAAGTAGACAATTAGTTTCTTTTTTTCTTTTTTCTTTTTTTTTGGAGGTCTACTATAATCTTTTAGTGGACTGGCTTGGGATATTATATGGCTCAACTTTTATCTAATGAAATGAAATTTCATTCAATATAAGAGTTGGAAGTGTGTTTTGCTATGATGTTTCCAAACCGAGAGCATTATTTGACGTGAAAATTAATTACAACATGCAAAGAGCTAGGTATCACTGAAAGAAAATCATACTCCGCAAACTTGAAATAATTAATTTCATCTCTTTATTTGCCAGAAGGCAATATGAGGAATATATCATACTGTTGTAATTCCTGATAGTATTATAAGCAAGCCAGCATATTCTACAATGATAAATTCTGTAGAACACTGAAGATTTAATACAAATCTAATGTATAATGTCTCCTATAAACAATATTTGAAACTTTGGAGATACCAAGGAGTATTAGCACACGACATAAATCATAAGGAGTTGCTAAAAAGTTAAATTTTAATACTGAAATACCTTACACCAGCGGCTGCGATCAACTAGCGGCGGCGGCGACGGTCGACGAGTAGATCTGGATCGTGGGCGGCGATGACAACTGTCGACAACTAGATCAACTTTGGAGATACCAAGGAGTATTAGCACACGACATAAATCATAAGGAGTTGCTAAAAAGTTAAATTTTAATACTGAAATACCTTACACCAGCGGCTGCGATCAACTAGCGGCGGCGGCGACGGTCGACGAGTAGATCTGGATCGTGGGCGGCGATGACAACTGTCGACAACTAGATC